TGGAGGCAACTGCAATTGTCCAAGCAGGCAGAGATGCAAGCCTATTCACTAAGATAAGCACATTAGAACTACAGAAGAAAAAACAAATTCAAGCCTTGGCTCACCTGAGCTTTTGTCTTAAATTGACCAGAACCAGGCCTTCATTTCATTTCTGGGCAACCTGCTCCAAACAGTGTTGCTTCTACTTGGTCATTATCTCTAACTTCTCCCCACCCCTAGATCTACCATGTAAGCTTTTGCCTTATCTTACCCAGACTCAAGTATGCCTCCAGGGTGTGCTGGAGTCAGCTCTTACCTACTTACAAAAGTTGATTTAAAAATTTTCAGTGTGAGCATTTATACCTCAGAAATCAGTATATGCTACAAATCAGGGCTTGATTTACTGTTTTGTTGACAGTATAGACTTAAAGTGATAGAGAAGCTGTTAATAATACAGATTAAGTTTAAAAGTGCACTGTGCATACATTTTTTTCTTCCAAAGTGATGGTTATTAAACGTTTACTAGAACACCCCTGCCTATACCTCATGTCCTGGCCACCAGCTCCAAACTATGCCCCTTCCTAAAATGCCCCTGTTAGAATATAAAGTCCTTGAAGATAGAAACTATCTTGCTTGCTTGTAATTGTATCCCTAGTGCTCAGCACAACACCTGGAACATAGTAAGAGCTTAATAAATGCTTTATCCATGTATTTAATCTATATATAAAAAGGAAAATTAAACAAACTTGGTAACATAGGATATGAGAGTAGAGGGATAATACTCAAGTTTTAAATTCGGAAGACTGGGTAAATAGTGGTGCCACTAATGGAAACACTGTAGTAAGAACAAGTTTTTGGAGACATGTAAGTCTACTTACAGATATGTGTGTGTGTGTGTGTGTGTGTGTGCGCGCGCACCGCGCACGTTTACTTATTTATTTATAGCAATTTAAGGTTAGTTTATGACATGTTGAGTTTATTCAGTTCAGGACAACTAGAGATATGGGTGTAGAGCTCAAGAGGGAAATCGAACTACAGATAGCAATTTGGGTGTCACCTGGCTAAATGTGATAGCTCAAGCATGGGAGCAAGTGACATTGCCAATGGAGATAATGTAGAGAGAGAGGAATAGAGAATCAAATACAGACCTTGGAGAACATGAATCTTCATGTATTGAAATGAGGATGAGGAACCAGTAAGGAACAATGAAGGCATACTTGAAGAGGTAAGAGAATCAATTAATCAGTAAGCATTTAGGAAACAACTACTATATATCAGGCATTGTGTTAGACCCTGGAAATGCAAGTAAAAAGAACAAAATAATCCCTACTCACAAGGAACTTTCATTGTAATGAGGGAGACAAGTACATACATACACATACATACATATAGCATAAATGTAAAATGAATGACTATATGTACAAAGTAATTAAATACAAGATAGTTTGGGAGGGAGGGTTCTAACAGGATAGTGGAAAAGATAACGAAAGGTTTCATCCAGAAGATGGTACTTAAGTTATATTTAAAAAGAGGTATCCTATAAGGTACACATTTGTTTGCTGTTGTCTCCATTAGATCGCGAGCTTGAGAGCTGGGATTGTTTTTTGCCTTTCTTTGTATCCCCAGTGCTTAGCACGGCACCAAGTACATAGTAGGTGCTTACTAAATACAGACTGATCAATTGACTGACTGGAAATAAGGAAAAAGTTCATTCCAGGCACATGGGACTGCTAATACAAAGGCACAGAGATGGTGGTAGATGAAGTGCTGTGTTTGAGGAACAAGGATAAGGCCAGTTTAGCTGGATGAGAGTCTGTGCAGCAGGGAATAATATCCAACGATGCTATAAAAACAGGCTGGGGTCAGATTGTAAAGGGCTTTAATATTTAAACAAAAGGAGTTTATATTTTATCCTAGAGGCAACAGGATGCTACTAGAGTTGACTGACATTTGTCAGATCAATACTTAAGAAAAAGTCACTTTGGCAGCAGTGCAAAGGGTGGGATTGGAATGGGGAGAGATTTAAGTCAGAGAGCCAAATTAGGCGGTGGATGATAAGGCCTAAACTAAGACAGTATCTGAGTGAATAGAGAGGAGAAGCTGGATGCAAGAGATGTTGCAGAGACAGAAATGGCAAGATTTGGCAACCAATAAGCTATAAATTTAGAGGAATCTAGGCTAATATTGAAGTTACAAAATTGGGAGTCTCGGAGGATGGTGGTACCATTAACAGAAATAAAGAAGTTTAGAAGATGGAAGAGTTTAAGGGAAAATGGCAAGTTTAGTTTGGGACATGGTGAATTTATCTCTGGGACATTCAGTTTGAAATGTCCACTGAGCAACTTGTGGTGCTAGTCTGAAGCTCATAAGAGACAGCCTGGATGTATGGACCTCTAAGTCACCTACAGGAAGATGCTAGAAACCCAGGGCGGCTGATGAGATTACCAAGAGAGAAAATGTAAAGGGAGAAAAGAAAAGAAAAAACAAAAAGAAAAGAATCTAAGACAAAACCCTGAAGGACACTCATAGTTAGGGGGCATGTGATGTGGATGACAATCTGGCAAAGGAAATTTAGAAGAATTGGTCAGATGGTAAGAGATGAATAAGAAGAGAGGAATGTCACTGATAGGGGTGGGATTTGAACCTCTCAAAGGAAAAGACCATGTCTTTGGGATCTGGACCCCAAAAAGTAAAAGCCCTGGACTTTACCCTATGGCCAAATCTCTGGCATTCTCCTGAGGCTATAATCCTATCAAGTGGCCTTTCATTATGGCCTATGCCCAATCTCCCAATTCTCTGTTACCCTTAACCTATCCTAGCCTTCTATTGTCTTACCTCCCTATAGCCTCTAGCCACTTACCACCTTAATCCTATCTAGATTCCACTCTCCCTTGGCCACATGGTCCAGGTCCCTGGCATTCTGTTACCTCACAGTCACCCCAGCTTACTGGCCACTTCCATCCAGATCCTCCTTAGACCCTTCCTCCAGTCACTCCAGACTACTTGGCTACTCCTAGATCTCTCCTACAGTCTTTCTGTATATAAGGTCCATCTGGCTTCCAATAAATAAGGTGCTCAGATTCTTAAGATCTGGCCCACTTGCATTAGGGATACAAATGCTTAGATTCCTTAAAAGGTTGGCCAATATGGTGGATTCTTTAAATCTTACCCACCCCAATTGATGTTCTAATAAACCTTGTCTTTGGCTGAAAGGCAGCTTGGGTCGAATGAATTCGGGCAGGACCTGTGTGTTGTAATTTTGGAGTCCCAGCATCCCTAAACGTCTAAACCTCAACAATATAGGATGATAGTTTGAGGGGTCTGGTAGTAGGAGTGAAGGAACTTGTAAGTAGGGAGACATTGAAGATTTGAATGCCAGAGGGATGACTTAAATGCAGCCTCCTGGAGACTACGGGAAGGGATGGGATCAAGAACATATACAGAGGGGTTAGCCTTGACAATGAGAATGATTTGTGAGAAATGAATATTTTGCTCTTTTATGTAATAATTATTAGGACCAAAGTTTTTCCCTTTTCTACTTTCTCATCCAGAAACTAACCAGTGTGGGAAATCTCTCTTAAAGATTTACCCAGGCCAAGATTTAATCAGACAGTAAAAGAAATTCTAAGTTTGGGTGTATTCCTGTTAAATGTGTTTGCTCAGACAGGTCTGGGAAAATGTTGATTCTCCCTTTTGTCAAGATAGATGATATGGAAATTGACATCTCTTTGACTAAGATTTGGGTGACCTAAGTCCAGTACCCCAAGACCCTCATTTTAATATAGCCCACCTCCCATTGTGTTAACCAATCAGAGTTGATTGGCATTCTCCAGGAACACCTAACTCTGCAAAGGGCATATAAACTGTGAGCCTATTGCCATTAGGGATCTTTGGTCTAAGAGAGACAGCCAAATGAACATCCTTTTATTAATAAATGTGTTGGCCTTATTAATTAAATGATTAAATTACCCAGAAACTATGTTTTTGAACCTTTTTAATCACCACTCATCCCTTCTTCGTCAGAAACTAGGGGAAAGGAGGAGAGAGTGGGAGTGATGGCAAATGGTTCTGAAATTAAAGAATATAGGAAAAGACGGAGTTTAGATGAATGGCCTACGTTTTCTCAGTAAAGAAAAAAGTCTTCAGCTGAAAAGGAGTGGGAAGAGGGAGGCTTGAGGAAGGAAAGGCTTCTGTGGTGAGATAAGAAATCAATTAGAGAGGAATAAAAGGACTGCCTGGTTGTACTGAGGGCCTAGTTGAGGTTGGATAATATGAATTTGTAATGTACTCAGTCAGCATGTTTGGTGATTTTCTCTGTGTTCAGCAGTTAGTGGATAAGAGTAGGAGACAAATGCTGTGAATAATCCAGGGCTGAGGTTTGGTAAAAGATGATGGGTGAAAGGACAAAGGGGCAAGGTATTTGAGAGCAGATGATGGTATAGAGTTGAAATGGCTAACTATTAGGTTGGGACTGGAGAGGGAAGAAATGAATAAGAGCAGAGTTATTATAGCCTGAGAAAAGTACTGAGGGGCAGAGGGATTGGAGGTCTTGATGGCGAAGAATGGGTTTAGGAATCTGAGGGAGAGGTAGAATGATAGGTTATGGTCAAGTAGGGGAATGACAAAGTTTCTAATTAGAAAAATGGACCACATGTGGGAAATGGTGAGATCTAATCTGTACCTATTTCTTTGTGAGGCTGAGGTGGAATGAAAGATCGGGTCTCAGGATTTGTTAAATTAAAATTTATTTTTCAATTAACAAGAGGAGAAAGGAATAAGCATTTCTAAAGTGCTTACTATGTGCCTGGGACTGTGCTAAGTGCTTTAAAAATATTATTTCATTTGATCCTCACAATAACCCTGGGAGATAGATGCTATTATTTATCTTCACCTTATGGGTGAGGATAGAGTTTAAGTGACTTGCCCAATGTCACATGGCTAGTAAGTTGTCTTAGGCCAAAGTTGAACTCAGGTCTTGCTGACTCCAGGTCCAGTGCTCTATCCATTGCCCAAGACACTTAGGTCCATTTATTTTTTCTCCTTCCTACACTGTCACTGAAAAGAAGAAAAAAAAACTCTTGTGACAAATATAATCAGGTGAAACAAATTCCCACATAATCCACACTCAAAAATGTATGTCTTCTGTATCTTTAATCCATTACCTGTCAGGAGGAAGTAGCATGCCTCATCATCATGACTGGTCATTGCACTGATCAGAATTCTTAAGTCTTTCAAAGTTGCTTGCCTTTACAAAGTTGTTGCCATATAAATTTTTCTCCTAGTTCTGCTCACTTCACTCTGCATCAATTCACAAAAGTCTCCCTGGGTCTCTCTGAAACTGTCTAGTTTGTCAATAGTATTCCACTGCATTTATCTAACATAATTTGGTCAGCCATTCCCTAATTGATACTTCCTTAGTTTTCAGTTCTTTGCCACTACAAGAAGGGATGCTATTACTTTTTGTACATAGGAGTCCTTTTTTTCTTTCTTTGATCTATTTGGGTAAAGATATTGCTGAGTCAGAGTTATGCACAGGATAGCATAGGACATGGGATTTAAGCAAGATGAAGGGATTAGGAAGTTAAGGAATTTGAGGGAGCATTTATGTGAATATTAAAGTTTCCTAGTATAAGGTCAAAAGTTGGGAAGGAGAGCAAGTTGATGAGTTATGTGGTGAATTATCTGAGAAAGAAGGGAGAATAATCTTTGGAGGACAGTATATTATAATCATTCTAATTCGAATTGAGTGGAAAATTTTGATTGAGTAGGCTTCAAAGGAGGAAAAGTTACAAAGCGATAGAGGAAACGGAAATTCTGGAAATTGCAGTGAATAGCAAGGAGTATTCAAACTCTCATTCCAGTAAGGGAGTTAAAGTGCTAGAAAGAACAACCAGGGGTACAGTGTTTTGTTCTGTTTTGTTTTGCTGGGGAAAGGAGGGTAGAGCCAGGTCTCAGTGAGGGCTACTAGGTGTAAGGAATGTGAGCAAAAGAAGTCCAGGAAAGTTTGTTCACTATGCAATGGGAATTACAGAGGGTACAGTAGAAGAGAATGGCAGGGTTGGAGTGGGACATAGAAGAGTTGAGATTGGAAGGGACTGGGGATGGGTTTTTTTTTCCTAAATAGTGATTAATAACAGACAGTATTGAAGATAAAAATGCTAATAATGTACTTCAATTTAGGCTTGTCTTCCAGAAACAACTTAACCTAATCTTTACCTAAACCATTTCCACCTTAGATGTCTAAATTGGAATAGACTCCCCCACCCCCACCCCATTCCTGCCATCTTTCTCCCCTACCTACCTTAGACCTCCAAATTGGAATAGACTACTCCTAAACCCCTTCTGCCCTACCTAGGGGCAGTTGAGTGCTGGTGAATAGAGATCTGGGTCTGGAAGACCTATTCAACTCTGGTCTCAGGCAAGTACTAGCTCTGCGGCCCTGGACCACATTTAACCTCTGTTTGCTTCAGTTTCTTCAACTATAAAATGGGGATAATAGCACCTACCTCACAGAGTTATGAGGATCAAATGAGATATTTGCAAAGTGCCTGGCACAAAGTGCTATACTTAAATGCTTATTCCATCATCCCAAACATGCCTTCTAATATGACTGCCCCAAAACGATGAGGTAACATTTATAGGAATTTTGAAATCAATGGGGCAGCAAGGTGGTGCAGTGAATAGAGCATGGGCCCTGAATCAGAAGGACCCAAGTTCAAATCCATCCTCATATTAAACACTTGACACTTACTAGCTGTGTGACCATGGGCAAGTCTCTTAACCACAATTGCCTCAAAAAAAAAAATCACCATCATTCATTTTCTTCCTGGACCACTCCCCTTTAGAACTGAAAAGTTACTTCCCAGTGACAAATATCTTAAATTTTGACTTCAAAAGATATTGCCCTTAGTTGAGTCTGAGAGCCAATCAGTTCAGGTGGGTAGGGAGGCAACAATTTTATCAAGAGCAGTTAAATGTGGTTTTCACTATCAATCCATTTCCCTAAGGCCTTAGCTTTTGTTCTATTCACTTTCCCTAAGGGAAAGTTTTAGGCTGAAGAAGTGTCTTAATATTTCTAGAAAAACTGAAAGGTTTTTTAATATGCTTCTACAGTAGGGAGAGAAACAGAAGTTTTTTGTTGTCATGTCTGATTCTTTTTGAACCCATTTGAGGTTTTCTGGTTTATTTCCTTCTCCCATTTTGATGATGGAAATGAGGCCAACAGGGTTAAAAGACTTTCCCAGGGTCACATAACTAATATCTGAGGCTGGATTTGAACTCAGGAAGAGGAGTCTTCCTGACTTTAGGCTTGGCACTCTATCCACTGTGCCACTTAGCTGCCCCAAGAACAGGGACAATAAGGGTCCCAGATGAATAATGAAGCTCAGTCTCCAAGGGGTGTTTCAGAGAGTATTGGATTAGGTGTACAATAACTTAGGAATTTACAGAAAAGTTCCAAAAAAAAATTGGATTTTATTATAAGAACATCAAGGATTTGAGAAAGGTGTTTTAGAAGACTGCTACCCACTACTTCATGGAGAAATGATGGACTAATTATGCAGAATAAAATATTCATTGGATATGACCAATATAGGAATGTTTTGACTGCATATGTAACATAGGGATTCTATATCCTCCCTTCTTCTCTACTTCCTTTCCTCTTCTTCCTTCCCTTCATCTCTTCTTTTCCTTCCCTGCTCTCCTCCCTTTTCTTCCTTCCCTCCCTCTTTCCTTCCCTTCCCTTCCTTCCTTTTTGTCCTTCCTTTGATTTTTCTTTCTTTTCAGTGAGTGGGGGAGATGGTAAGGAAAAAAGGAATGCATAATAAGTTTAATAAATAAAATAATTTTTTAAAAAGTAGTTTCAGTAGAGTAATAGGGACAGAAATCAGATTGCAAGTTGCTGAAGAGAAAGTGGATGCTGAGGGAAGTAAAAGAATGGACACAAATGGTAGAAGAATGGGAGAATGTACCTTTGTAAGATGTACAAGAGTTGAAGGAATGATATTTTAGGATTGGGAAAACTTGGCAGATGAGGAACCAATTCAGAGTGATACAGTGAATATGTGTGAGGAAAAGGGGATGATAGCTGCGGCAAGGTCTAGAAGGTGAGAGAAGATGGAATCAAGGGCACAGGTGCAGAGAGGATTAGTCTTAGGAAACAGGGTTACATCCTCTGAGACAGAAGTGAATAGGTGATTTTGAAAAAAATAATTGCAGTAAAGTTGAGAGAGCTCTTATCACATTGTTTCTTATGCTCCTCAAAACCTGGCTCACCATCTTTCTAATTTTCTTATATCTTAAATTCCACCCACTAGTTTCCCTCCTCCATCTATCCACATACTCTTTGATCCAGTAACATCAACCTTCTTGCTGTTCTTGAATAAGACACTCTATGTATTTTCACTGGCTGCCCCCCATGCCTGGAATTCAATTCCTCCTCATCTGTGTCTCTTGGCTTCCCTGACTTCTTCAAATCCCAACTAAAATCCCAACTTCTACAACAAGCCTTTCCCAATTCCACTTAATTCTAGTGCCTCCTCTCAGTTGATTATCTTCAATTTATCCTGTTTATATCTTGTTTGTACCTAAGTCCTGGACAGGTTGTCTCCCCCCATCAGACTAGGAGCTTCTTGAGAGCCAAGAACTGTCTTTTGCCTCTGGTATCTTCAAAGCTTAGCACAGTGCCTGGCACATCATAGGTATTTCATGTTTATTGACTGACTGATAAACATGAAGTTGTGTACTTAAATAGTCTGAAATAGTTACTAAGGAGAAAGAGATGAGAGTTAATAACAGTGATGCTATAACAAATATATACACAAATACTTGCATATACATAATACTTAATACCTCAAAATATGATTTCACTGGTTTATATTTCTCCCACAAATGCAGATTTCAACCTTTCCCCCCTGATGCTTAGTATAGTTTTCCTGAGATGCTGTGGCAAAAAAAAAAAAGAAAAAAAAAAGAAAAAAAAGAAATGAAATGAAATGAAATGAAAATCCATCACTTGGTGGCCAACTTTCTGGCAATGAGCCTTTTTCAAACTTGGCGCGGCTAGCCTTCCTAAAACAGACACACAATCCATTGCTGGGCCCATATTCAAAGTCTTTCCAACTTGATATATGACCTGCCAGAGCTTGTGTTCTCTTGGCATACCCTTGAAAAACCCAGTGATGTTCCATGCCACAGTACATCAAAATACACCTCTAGAGGAAGGTTTAGATTCTTATCCCTCTTTTTTTTTTTTTTGCATGGGATGAGAGCATTTCCCCACAGAGGGATACTAAACTTCAATTATTCAGAAGGAAAAATGAGGCTTACCACAGGTTTTAAGAAACAAATTCTATGCAAATATGGAGGTAACAATGAATCTAAAACTGTAAAAGAAATGACAGAATCACTACTCTTAAACCATAAAAATGCTCAAGGTGGGATTGGCATAGAGCTAAGGACACCTCTGAAACTTTTTTAGTGGGATCGGAAGTCTTTTCTGTTGTCTGACTAAATTTGTACCCACTCTCTCGTCCCTTATCTAATTCTGCCACCAGTTCTTTAAGTAATGGGGTAAGAAAAAGACTAAAAAATGATTATTTACACTGGTTTACACTTTAAATGTCCAACTAAAAGTGCCAGTGGAAGGGAGTTTCTCTAGGATGATGACAATTTTCATCTATCTTGGACTGTTCCATGGTGCCACAGAAAACACTACAAAACACTAGTCAATCTCAGACATTCTAGCTTTAGAATTTGAATATCTTGATAGCCTAAATCAAGCAGAATAATCAGTGGGATGAGAGAATTCTCCATTCCAGATGAAAAGTCCGTTTCTTCCGTATGCTTCCCCCAAAAAATACTAGCAGGGGGAAAAAAAAACCTCCTGAAAACTGTATTTCTGATGCAGCCACAGTTATTCAATAAAATTTCGTGTGGGGGGGGGGAAATGAATCAAAATAGAGTGCAATATTAACCGGAGTCACAATCCATAGGAAATTTTGTTGAAGTTATTTCCCAGGCACGCCCTTCTGGGCAGCCATGACTCCTTCTCCAGTCTGTTTCACAGATAAATCACTCCTTGTTTTAAAAACCTGAAATTAGTGTGACTCACACATTAGCGTGCCCTGCTGCTGCCGCCTCTGGAAGGCAGGGGGAAAAAATGTGCAGTTTCCCATAACCCGAGCACCAAATATGCCGCACTGAACCAATCAGAAGCGGATGACTGTAATCACACCAAAGTAGGTAAAAATGAGGGTTTCGTCCCCTCCCCCACTTCATCTCTTCCCTCCTCCCCGGGCTCCCGCCTTCTCCCCTCCCTCCATCTCCCTTCCCCCTTCTTCCGTCTCCTCCTTCGGTAGCTCTTTTTTCCCCTCCCTTTTTTTTCCTCTCTCTCCTCCTCCTTTGCACCCCTCCTCTTCTTTGGTCCCCTTCTCCTTAGTCACTCAGATCTCCCGAGGCTTCTCTTGCCCCACCCATCGCCGCCTGCGCACACCTGGGCCAGGTAGTTAATTCCATGTAAGGAAAAGGTCCGCACAGTGAGCCCCAGGAGTCACGTGACTCCTCCCTCAGCCCTCCTCCTCTCCCCCTTCACCCTGCTTGGGGGCCTGAGACAACCCTCCCAGTTCTTTCCTCCTCCCCTCCGCCCTCCCTCTGACTGACGGGCAGGTGCCCGCAGATACCCTCAGCTCTAGGCTCCCCCTAGGTGAGGGAGAAGTGACCCCGCCCCTTCTCCGAGTCCGGCCGAAGTCGGCTTCCGGAGGGCGCGGCGGAGAGGGGCGGGCCGTTGTCTGGCTGGCTCCTTCCTTAACAACGGCGAGCAGCCCGCGAAGCGGGCTCAGAGCGTGACGTGTGCAGCGTTTCCGCCCGGCTCGCGCTCGGCCGCTCCCTTCCTCTTTCCCTCCCTCGCTCACTGTCTCGCCCGCCCGCTCTCCCCGATAGCCTCGCGCGCTGCCGCCTCTCTCCCGCCGGCTCTCGCTGTTCCCTTCCTCGGGCTCCCGGGACCAAGACGTTCCTCCGCGCCCTACACCGCAGCAGCGCCTAGACTCTCGGCTCTCCCTCCTCCCCGCCCCCGCCGGCCCAGGGACCAGACCGCGCTCCAGATCGTCCGCTTTGGAAAGATGGTGAGTGGGTGGGAGGGAGGCAGACGCGGCCCGGGCATCCGGGGATCCGGCGGGGGAGCCGGGCAGCCTGAACCCCGCCCGGCCGCGCTCCCCAGGCACCTGGCGCGCCGGAGCCCCCGGAGGTGGAGCATTCCATTCTCGTGGTGGGGGAGGGGACCTCCCTGGAGGCTTCATGCCCCTCAGCCCCCAGTTTTTGGATGCAGCTCATTCCCTCGAGTCTGCCGCCCGTCCCCGGCCAGCTCTCTTCCTCTTCCGCGTCATCCCCCGCCTCTCTGCAATGTGGCCCCGAAGTGTCGAACGGCAGCTTTGTTCTCTGCTCCTCCATTGCCTATCGACTCAACCCCCCCCCACTATGTCCCCCATCCCTCCTGCACATCCACAAACACGGGGTGTGGGTGCGGCGAGCTTCGCGAATCCCACCCCCCCTTCGCCTTCCCCTGCCCTTCCCATCCCCCAGCCGCCGTGCGTGTCCTTTGCACTAAGGTGGGGCTCCCTGGCTGCTGCATTGCTTCAGGCTGTTGTGAAAGTGCTGCTGAGGATTTCCTCCTCCCTGTTCTTACCCGGGCTCTGTGTGTGTGTGTGTGTGTGTGTGTGTGTACACACACATATATCTTGGTGAATATGTGTATGTCTGTATATGCACATATCGAGCTATGGAAAAGTACATATGTATGTACATGTATCTAAAGGCTTACAGACTTCCCTAGAAATGTTAGGCTCTTTAATTGCTTCAGCAGAATGTCTTCTCTCTTCACATAAAGCCTCCCAATATAGTGTTGGGATCATTGTGTCAATACGTAATGCTTTGTTGAGTAAGAAAATTTTTTTCTCAAGCAAATATATGTTTGTGTGGGTGTGTATACACACATATAACCACAGGGATGTGTGGTTTAAAAGAAGACTAGCCAGCCTTTTAGCTTTGGATTGCTGTCAAAACGCCATTCCATTTTTTTTTGTACATGTTTTTTGAGAAACAGTGCCTGGAAGATCATTTATTTAATATTTGGGGGGGAGGGAATAAGCTTTTAGAAAAGGAAGGAACCACCGTACAAGAAGAAATGATCACCAAAGCAGCATGATTAAGAAAGAATACTAGCTTTGCTACCTCTTTGTTTGTCATATCTGTAAATCAGCTTTCAGCAGCAGTCTTGTAGTGCTAGGCAAGCTTGGCAGTGCCTGTTTTAACCCCTCCCTGCCTGATTCATGCTGGTATAGTTAGAATTTTTTATTTGCTAATAGACAGTTTTGCTAGGTGAAAATTTGCCATGTCAGGTGCTAGCCTGGTGCCAATTTGCTAATAAAAGCAGAGGGAGAAGCCCTAATAACACTGAGTTTACAAACATTCACAGATCTAAGAATTTTAGGGATGAAAACTGTGCTTCTTAAATTGGTATCGTTTTCTGCTAAATTATTGGTCTAGTTTTGGGAAAACAGAATACGGAACTTGAAGATTAGGTAAAACATTTCTCTGTTCTGCTTTAGGCTGCACCACACCATTACCATTTTTGGTCAATGATTTGCAGGCTAAGGCTTACCAGACTTTGGTAGAAATGTTTTCTCTTCATATAAAGCCTCCCAATCTAGGTGTTGAGATTAGTGTATCAGAATACATAATACTTAGTTGAGTGGAAAAAAAACCCAAGCAAACCAACTCACATTTCCATGCATGTTGACTTTCAAAAGTAGTCTTTAACACTGATACTTGATTAACTGTACAAAAAGAAACCCCAGTTAATCAGTCACTTTTTTCAGCATACAGTAGTTAAATATTAAAGTAAGCTATTCAATTTTGTGATATTTCCCCTCAATATTATTAGCATTAGCCTCACAAATGATATATATATAAGCACCTTTGCCTTTGTAGCACCATAAGCTATGTTCTGATATTATAAACAGGATCAAGCTTCTTGCCTCTTAAATTGTTCATAAAATTTTATTCATGTATTTCCATGTACTTCTGGAAAGGTTATTTGTGTTTTATACTTTAAAAAACTCAGTCTATAAAGACTAGCATAAATGAAATGTAGGAGTGAGATGTTTCGTCTGGGAAAGAAAGGTAAAAGGAAATTTGAGGTAGTCATAGTGAAAAATACATTTCATATCCTTCCCAATAATGTCAAGGAGACATTGAATATTTTATCTCAGAATGCCTATAAAGAGACTAAGGAGTACTCAGTTTTGTTCTAAGATCCTCAAATGGATTTGTGCTGAACATTCAGGTATAATGTGCAGAAGTTTTTTGTCTTTTGGTTTTTTTAATGTCTTGGCTACGTGGAAGTATGTTTAAGGTACATCTGACTTTTTTAAATGATAATTTTGTTAAGACCATTTGCATCAGCCTTACCTGTGGTTTGCCCACATGTCCAAGATGGCTCCCAAACTTCATTTTGTGAAAGTTGTTAAACTTGCTTTTATGAGATTCTTTGAATGTTTTAATAGTGATACTTGCTATTGCTGGCATAAAAATAATTTCTCAGTTTGTCCATTGTGTTCAAACTCATTGAATATGTTGGGGGCAAGGTGAGTACATTTGTTTGGGGTACTCTGACTAATGGGTAATTGGCAACACTCTCTCTCTCTCTCTCTCTCTCTCTCTCTCTCTCTCTCTCTCTCTCTCTCTCTCTCTCTCTCTCTCCCCCTCTCTCTCTCTCTCCCCCCTCCTCCTCTCTCCCCCTCCCCCTCTCTCCCTCTCCCTCTCTCCCTCTCTCGCCTTTTTAGCAGGCTAGACCACAAGTAAAAGAGGCAAAAGTCCTAAAGCACTAGTACTAGGAGGGAATAACTTCAGAGGGTAGGTAGGAAGGAGACTTCATCTAGGAAGTCAGGAGACAAGGTTATTGAACCCCTAGATCCATTGATGGCACAATTTGGGGGTGAAATGGGCATTTGCTTCTTAGTTCTCCTTTTGTACCTTGTAGTAAATATTTAAACCTTGCAAGAGGAAGAGATGTTTTGTTTGGAGGGAATAGGAGAAAAGTAGGCTGAGAGGAAATGGCATATATTTTACCATTAGAAGGGAGCTATAAATTTGAGGCAAAGAGGAATTGGTACCAATAGGAGACTGATGGGGGAATCATTGGCCCAGGTTTGGGATTGCTGTCAACAGTGAGAGGGATTCCATTTAGTGTCAGCAACATATACTTTTCTAGTCACTGATCCTTGTCATTACAAATAGAATGTTTAGTTTGGGGGTTAACATGAATGAGCATGTTGTGAGATGTTCATTTAAAAAATAATTTGTACCACCTGCATACTTAAGTAGTTTAACGAATCTATGATCTCATCGATTGGGTACTCCTTCCAGATTACAACCAATCCTGTGCCTTCTCATTTTCTCTATGACTTTCCATAAAGTCTCTGCAAGGATCCACTCAACATGCTGGGGAAATGTCTTTAGGTTTCTTGACGTTGTATGGACCACTCAGGCTGGCCTTCAGTTGTCAACATTTCTTGGAAGATGTAATGGCAGAGAGAGTGAAACTTTTTCATGATTATTAATGTCAAGCGAGGTATAAAATGTGTAGATAGATAGCATTTGGTACAGGAGTCCAAAACGAGGAAGAATAATGGTGAGGTGGTCCAGGTCATCCTTTTTGTGGATGGCATGCCAACTGTGTGAAGCTAATAGCTAACATGTTGTGGAACCATAGACATTCGTGGGTTAGGCCTAACTACATAGGAAGTGTACCTACACAAGAATGGATTTTGAATTTCTATTGTACAGACCTTGATTTGTACTTGTATGGACAACTCATGGTGTGGGCCTTCTGTATCTCTGTCTTGGATAGACTGGGAGATGGGCCTAAATTGGATAAGTGGAGATGATGCTGGATTGCCTTTGGAATTTTACAGTGCTTTTAATGATTGCAAGCTTCTTCTTGAAACTGACCCATCTTTTTAACATCAGTTTTCTTCTGGTGATATTATATGGCTACAAATAATGAGCCTCACAGAATTAACATTGTGGATCACCCAAAGGGAAATGGAAGGTGCATAGGAGGTGTGAGTATTCCTAAGGAAGAATTAATTGCATGGGAGAAGTGATATGATGGATACTATCAGAGAAGTATATCTGACACAAAAGGAGGTGGACTTTCCATGTAGCGCATCTGTATATTGGAAGAAAATTAATTAATATACAGCAATCTCAATTATCAGCATTGTCAGGAACCTAAAGATTACACTTTGTAGTAGCAAAACATTTTAGAAATTTTTTTCTAGAAATTCTTTTTAAGTGTTTCCATACTTCCATGTCTCCTTAAACAGAATATACAGAGTATGACCTTTGTTGATGACTCACCATTGTGAATAGGGTAAGGACTAAACCCATGATTTTATTTGTGGAGGGAACTCCCAGGGAAGGAAAGCTCCTTTACCAATCCAGGTTACAATCTTTTCTGCAACTTAAGAGTTGCTAGAGCATGGTCTTCATGACTTCCCTATCCAAGGTGCCTTACTACTTCTTGTGTCATTTATTGTAATGTACTCTAATGCAGTGATGCCTTCAGAGGCTATTTAGGTATATAAAAATGTGAAATGGACAAAATCTGTTGATGCTTTTTGTGTTCTCATAGTGACTCCTCATAGTTTTACTCTTCCTTTGATATGAGTCAGCGTTCTCTTGCTGCTGTTAGTGCCGTTTATAGCAGCTTCTTTCTTCCAATCTCTTGTAGGCCAGGAAATCAGATAATGGCTGTGTAAAATAGAGGATGTAAGTTTTTAGTGAAGACTGAGGGGCTTTTATGATACATAAACTTTTAGTGCTTGAGATTTAATGATGCCTGCATAAGCTATGCAGAGGCAATTTTTGCTTCTTTTTCTGTGCTTGGCTATTTCAGGTTATCTGAGAAGTGATATATAGTATAATTGGTTTTAATCCACAGAATTACAGTGACTAGAGAAAGCTCCAGAAATGTATGTAACTGGAAAGGGACACAGATCTATCTGACTCTAATGGGCTGTCTTCAGGACATTATTTGTAGAGGCCGCTAGATGGCGCAGTG